CCTGGACTCTTGCAGTAAGCCACAGCGGGACCCTCTGAAGTAGCTGCCTGTGGGTTGGCTGCTTACCCCTTTTTAGTCTAGTTAGCCTCAGCTGAGGGAGTCAGGGCTGCCATGGCATGGAGTTCAAATAACTGCCTAAGGACAGGAAAGACAGTGGTAAACACAGAGAAAAATATATAGTTAGTAACTTACTAACTCACTGTTCCAGAAGTCTCTTTGGTTACTTACTGAGAATTTAGGGAAATTAAAGGTGCCCATACAATTTTATGTTTTAAGCTTTTGACCATTTGTGGTCTAGAGGCAGCTGATAGTAGCCCACACACATCCCAGTGTGAAGATGCACACTTGTCTGTATAATAGAAGGGTAACTAGTGAGCTGTGTGCCTTTGAGGAATCAAGCTGAAGTAAACCACTGCCTCCCACGCTACTCACTATCTCAGCATCTCTCACTGTGTAAACCTCAAAACCCTCCTAGACCACAATCCTAAAACCTATCTGAAATACAGAATTAGGCTCTTTAAAATATTTTGATAAAACATGGAAATCTTCAGGAGTATTTTTTCTTAATGCTCACAACTGATAGTGCAAATGAAGTTGAAAATTGCATTATTAAGAAAGATATAACACTTTTCTTTCTTTTAAAATTGCCTTTGCTACAGGGAAGCACAAATGAGGTAAGCTGACATTTTTTAATTAACATATATTATTTGTAAACATGATATTCCTATTTTTGGCTAGGTGCTAAAGGATATTTTTGAGCATAATTTTAGAAAATACTTCTCTAAAATGTAAATTTGTATGAATTTTAACATATTCCAAATTATAATTATATAGGACTTAATTTGAACAAAAGTGTCATTAAAGGGTGTTTGATTTCATTCCTGTGTAGAAAAGTTTGTGTTTTAAGCTCTAATGTTGCAGTATTTAATTTCCCCACATTGGTCAAATACTGGACAAGCAGAAACATAGAGGAGCAAAGGTTTAATTGGCTTAGTGTGAGGCGGGATTGTGGCAGAGAAGGCATGGTGGCGGAGCACGAGGCAGCTGCAGGCAGGGAGCAGAGAAAGAGGGATGCTGGGTGGGTGCTCAGCACACTTTCTCTTTTATCCAGTCTGGGACCACAGCCCATGGGATAAATAGTCTTGCCCACACTGAGGGTGGGTATTCTCTACCTAGTTAATCTTTCTGGAAACAACTGCATAGACGTACCCAGAGGTGCTTCCACAGTGATTTTAAATCCTGTAAGGTTGACTATGAAGACTGACCATCATAGGTATCCTCCTGCAGTTCTGCAGTGAATCCAGCAGGAATACAATCTAAGTAGATTCCATCGAAGAGGGGATTTAGTAAACTAAATTCACCACAAGAACAAAACAAATTTCAGCTTGTACATAAATCTTGGGTAGGGGAACTTAATACCTGAGGAGAACTGGAATTAAGCTAAGTACACTAGGAGCAGAGTGTACCAGAACTAGGGTGACACCATGCTGTACTGACCATATCTACAGAACTGAACATGGCACTATCCATATTTAGTGTTAAGAAAACAGCTATAGAGGCTGGAAAGATGATACAGCAGATAAGAGCACTGGCCGATCTTCCAGAGGTCCTGAGTTCAATTCCCAGCACCCACATGGCAGTGTGTATAACTGTAGTCCCTTGGGATCTAATGCTGTCTTCTGCTGTGCAGACATATATGCAAAGCATACATATACATATACATTACACTAATGAACAAATTGTCTTTAAAAGGAAACATCTATGTAGAATCACAAAAGTTTTTTGAGAATATCTCTACAGATATTAAGCTTTTACCCAGTTCTTCTAAATATTCAAAAACTACACACTCCAGAAAACGTGAGTCAGAATTGGGTGTTCAGTATGTGACAGAGGGATAGCTCTCACACACTAGCCAAGGGGGAAATATGAAGATACTTAGGAGAACCCAGAAATGTTCAATATGTAAATATGTGAATGCATGCTGTGGTGGCACATGCCTATAATCCCAATATTCAGGAGGTGGAGGAAGCAGGATCAAAAATTGAAAGCTAACCTGGATCACATAGTGAAACTTTATTTCAGGAAAGGCCCTAAAATTCTCTGGAATCAAACACCATTAAAATAATACGTGGAAAAATCAGAGGAGGTCATTTCAGTGATAAAAGGCTTTTTGAGGTGGTGGTTCTGAATGAGATTCTGTGTAGTCAGAACTGAGTAGTGGAAACAGTGCTGGAGAACACAGGAAGTAAGGGAGCCCGGCTGGGGATGGAGCGGGAACCCTGTAGCTGACCTAGCACACACGTAAGAATGGAAAGGTAGCCAGTTCTGGAAAATCCATTCACAGCAGGAGGTTACAGATCTGAGCTGTCTAAAACTGGCAATATTTCAATGTGAGATGTCCACACGCCTGAGACATGGAAAACTACTGGGCTGGGAGATAGTATTCTAGATGTTTAAGATAAAGGCAGTGCAGTCAGAGAGTAGAAGCTTGATAAGCTCAACCAGCAGCATAGGCTGTGGAACAAAAACTATTTTACATGTTAAGACATTAGGCACTGCTCTGTTTGTTTTACGTGTGTGAGTATTCAGCTGCACGTAGTGTACCATGTGCATGCAATATCCAGTGGCGGCCAGAAGAGGGCATCAGATCCCTCTGGGACTGATGGGACTGGGATTACTGGTAGTTAAGAACCATCAAGTAGGTGTTCAGAATTGAACCCGTTCTCTGAAGAGCAACCAGTGCTTTAACCAACTAAGCCATCTCTTCAGCCCCAGCTAGTGAGTGCTTGATAAAGGGCAGTGATATAAAGATGTATCAATTTGGGACTGAGAAGAGGGCTCAGTGGGTAAATCACTCGCCACCCAAGGATGAGGACCTGAGTTCAGATATCCAACACCCACTCAAATGGCAGGTAGATGTGGTAGCCCACCAATATTCCCTATGCTTAGAAGGTAGAGATGAGATTCTTGGGGCAAGCTTGGTGGCTAGACTGGCTAAATTGGTGAGAGATTCTGCCTCATATATAATGTAGAGAGCAATAGAGGAAGGTACCCAACAACTGTGGCCTCCATACTCACCTACACACATAAACACTCATACACACATGCATGCACACCATATACAAAACTGTACTTGAAAAGTATGACTTCAGCACACTGAATTTTATATAGTACTATAAGCTAAAAAGGGAAAAAGTTATACCTGTGTGCTTAATGTCTTATAACCTATTTTTATATTCTAGGCTTTATACAAGCTTTATAGCGCAGCAGCAACCCACAGACACCTGTATCATCAAGCTTTTCCTGCACCAAAGTCAGAACCTACTGAACAACCGGAAAAGAAGAAAATTTAATTTAAAGCAAATACAGGTGCATGACCGTTTGTCAGTTAGCTATCAAAGCTTTTGTTTCCATGCAGACATGCAAAGTGCTTCCTTCAGACAGAGTGAAAGCCAAACACCTGAGGACTCCAACAGTTTCATTCTTTACTCCAGTGTTTAATGAGCAGATGTATGTATGCATGGTTATTTGTTAACATGTGCAGTTTCCTGATTTATGTCTCTAAATATGCTGTTATCATTTCAGGTATTTGTAAATTTGAGGACAGTAGATTTGTTCTGCTTGACTTTCTAAGTTCTACTACTGGGTTATAATTAAATATTGTGTGGTATTACTCTGGGTTTGGATATGCTCAATTAATTTCTATAGAAAACTTAAGTTATTTTACATAGCTCTTTGTTAAAGCAGAGCATAACTCGGCAGGCTTGACTTTAATCTATATAATCTTATACATACCACAGGCTCTTATTTTGAAACATATGTAAGAGCTTAAAAGTTGCTTTACCAAAAACTACACATTATTTCTTTTATATCTTTATGAATTAATATAGAATATAAATCTCTTGATCAAAAATGCACAAAAATTGTTTTGTATGTGTTGGAGTTTCACTGCACTGTATATTTTTTCATTTGGTACACCACAAATGTATTCTTCATAGGTTTATTCTTTTAATATGTGGACTATTAAACTTTACTGTTTCCTAACATGAAAACAAATGCTCACTGGCTCCAGAACTACTTGGGAGGTACTGGTGTGGCATGAAAGGCCTAACCTGCCTTAGTTCAAGATACACTTTCTTTCTGATACCATTTCAAGACAAGACTGGGTGCTCAAGGTGAGTGACCATACACTATTTCTGATCCCACTTCAAACTTAAGTATCCATCTTAAAAGAAACACAAGCTAATTGAATTAGGTACTTTCCAATTTTTTGATTTAAAAAAAGTTTAATTTTTTAGGCAAGATTTTACTATGAAGCTCAAGTGGGCTTTCAACTTGTGATTGCCCTGACTAACTCCCTAATCCTGGAATTAGAAATATGTGTTGCTACCTGTAGCATCCTTCCAGTTCATTTAAACTAAGGAGTCTATATTTCTTTTGGGGTGGGAGGGACTGCTCAAGACAGTTTCTCTGTGTAGACCTGGTTGTCCTGAAACTTGCTCTGTAGACCAGGCTAGCTTCGAACTCACACATATCTGACTGCCTCCCAAGTGCTGGGATTAAAGGTATGCCTCACCACCACCTGGCTACAATATATTTCTAACAACTGAAATCTTTAGTGGCGTTTTATTAATGAAACTAAACCCCTTAGAGGAAAATAAAAAACTAAGCGGGAGGAGAGACTATTGATGGGGAATGGTAATGCTTCATCTACCTGGGAACCCAAGCAGACAGTTTTAACTGTCTCAGAAATGGTGATGAAAAGTAACTGAGACAGAAGAATGTGTGCAAGCTGGCAGGCTGTACAAAACGTTTACCCTTTACAGACAGCTGGCCGTAGGCTCAGTATTCCATCCCTTTATAATATCCCAGCAGTCATACTTTAGCTTCAGCTTCTCTTTTCATTATAGGCTTGTTGGTTTGTGGACCTTCTGAACAGAAACACATCAAACATTATTCTAAATCTAAAACACCAAAACATGCACTCAAGGACCAGACAGTTTCCACAAAAATATATTTAATAACCTGTTATATAAAATCACACACAAAATTTTATCAATAATTCAAAGTCACTTCTAACAGGGAGTGCTTATATTTAGGAAAAGAACCAAAATATATACATATTCACAACATTTGTAAGCACAACTGAGAGCTATGAAACTCAAGTGTTCATCACTAATTATGAACAACCATTAAGCCCAAAGCAAGAATAGGAAGGAATGACCTGTTTCTAAAACCTTTATGACAAATACTTTTCAAAGATAAAAAAGGCAATATAAAATTTACTTAAGTGACCAAGATTTCTTATTGGATCCCTGATTGTCATTTTTTGGCAGCTTAGCCCAGCCTGATGGAAGGCAGTGTTCTGTGTGTCAGGAAGCCTGTGGTGTGTCTCACCAGAGCCTTGCTAACTGTACTTATGTGCTCTGGCTCGAAGGAAGGAAGTATTAGCAACAGTTGGCACTAAGACACATATATTTATTATATTCCTGTATTCCTGAATGTAGTCCTGAAATACGTTATTTCCCTCCTTCAAAGGTGTTCCTTCCATTAGGGAGGAGATGGAAGTAGATGACCACACGTAGCATGTACAAGCTCATCACACGTTAACACCACACGGAGCAAGTGATCACAAATGTGTTCTCATCCTCTTCCGTTTTCTTAACAAGAAGGGTGTGTCCATAAAAGTCAGAGTGACTGTTTCCTATTGGATGCCTGTTTATGATGATGTTCTCTTCCTGTACTCCTTTTCATCCAGAGTCTCCAAAGCAGTTTCCTAATACAGCATTTGGTAGCATATGCCATAGTGGCTTTTTAAATGATAAAACTTTCTTGGTTCAATAAAAGAAAAAAATTTGATAACAAAACATATGTAAAATAGTAAGTTGCCTTTATTAACCAAAGAACTTGTTTGCAGTCATTTATCTGAAAATATTTTAAAGCTCTTACAAAACTTGGCTTGTGATAAGTTAACTTAAAAACTTCTTGCCATGCTGCTGGGCATACCACTGCTGTCTCTGCTTGCGGTTTTCCAACTCAGTGAGAAGAGCCTGTCTGTAGGCCTCGTACAACTTAACAATCTGTTCCAGTTCCTTCATAAAGAGCAGCTTCAGCATTCCCTGGTATGTGTCCAGGTCAGCCAGCTGGAAGAGCTCCCACTTCAGAATGTGGTCATATCTGTTGTAAAATATGTTAATAAGATAAGACATAAATGTGCATTTACAACAATAAACTGGTCTATTTTTATAGATATTTTTATTATATGTAAAACTAAGCTTTATTCTAAAATATCTGAGTTAGTAAAACTTGCTATTTTTTTTTTTTTTTTGAGCTGGGGACCTAAGCTGACCTTGAACTTCTGGATATAGGCTGTCCCTCTGCCTCACATTTCTCAGTAGCTGGGAATACAAGAGCATGCTAATACACACGGCTCTGAATATACTATCTTCCCCCCTTCCCTCTCTTTCTTAAAATTCATTTCCAATTTTTATGTGTATGAATGCTTGACCTGCATGCATGTAAGTACACTGCACGAATGTAAGTACACTGCACACTGGGTGCCTGAGAAAGCATCAGATCCCGTGGAACTGGAGTTACAGTTTTAAGCCACCACATGGCTCCTAGGAATTGAACCAGGGTCCCCTACAAAAGCAGCAGCACTCTCTCTACAGCCCTAAGTACATTAATTTTTAATTGAGAGAATCTTTTATTTTAAGATTTATTTTTATGTGTATTGGATGTTTTTGCCCACATGATATGTCTGTGTACCACATGCATGCTTGATACCCATGAAAGACAGAAGAGGGCACTGGATCCCCTAAAACTGAAATTTCAGACAGTGATGAGCTGTCATACAGATTCTGGGAACTGAACTTGGGTCCTCTATAAGAGCAGCCAATGGTCTTAACAACTGAGCTGTCTCTTCAGCCACAAATGTACTGTTTTTTAAGGAAGGGAAAAAACTGTTAAATATTACTTCAGGCTAAAGAGTGCCTGTTTATTTTAAAAATCAATTATAATATTAGTCCTGGGTAACCATTAATACAATTCCAGACTATAGTGGTTCTGTAATTTCCAGAAAGCACATCCTATGCTCTTTATAAGTTCATAAGTTAATGTTGAGAACTTAGAATACTTGAGAGCATACTGTGCTCACAAGTGGTAATAGAGAAAAGCATGTAAAGTCACTAGTGGCATCAGTGCTGGCAAACTGACAGGTGTATATGAGGAACACTGTTCAACTACAACAGAGACAGAAGATAAATCATTATATGCAGGCCAAGTATTCCTCAGGATAAGTAACAAGAATAAAACAGCAAGAAGACAGGTTTGGAGAGATAGCTCAGAAGTTAAGAGCATGTACTACTCTTGAAAAAGACTGGAGTTCAGTTCCCAACACCCTTATTAGGTAGCTCCCAACCCCCTATAACTCCAGCTGCAGGAAATCCAATACTTTCTTTTGGACTCAAGCTACATTACACATATGTGTGCACAAACACACAAACATAATTAAAAATAAATTCAAGAACTAAAGAAAGAAGAAACTCTTTCAAAATGAGAGAATAAACTGAAGAAAACTCCACAAGGTGACATCATGTTGATTATACTTATGTGTGTCTTGAAAGGCCTTTAGTCCTCCTTCAGTGCTTAAGTGGCTCAGAATAAGTTGGAACTACAAAACTTACACTTTGAAAAAGAAATCAAGAGACAGCAGTCTAATTCAGTTTTCTCATTTACAGATGAAAAACTCTGATAGCTTAAAAAAAAACTCTTAATTATCTCCTATAAAAATGTATAGTGACCAACAGTCCAAGAAGGCAGAGAAGTGTGGACCAAGGAGCTTTAGAGTGACATTTTTTTAGGGTGACTGTCCATTACTAGAAGAATGTAAATACAGTAAATCATGTACCTATGTGATTTTGAGGTCATTTCTCAAATCACTGCAGGGTAGAAATAAAAGGAAGCTTTATGTTGAATTTATTTTTAATAATCACTTATGTCCTATCTAATGGATACTTTGGTAACTCATTTGCCATTTTATTCCAAAATCTGTATAAAAACATATATGGCTCCCCAAAAAATAAAAGTGTAGTGAGCAGTTCCTGCAAGCTGTCCAGGCTGCAAAGGGCCACACAGTTCCATCCTCTTGGGTGTGTGTCCCAGGAACACCAGCACCGTGGCAAAGCTGCAGGCAAGCATTTTAGTCAACTCCCACTTTTATTCTATTACTTGAGGATTGAAAACGTACTACTAGACTAATTTCCTTGCAGTAACCTGGATGTTCTCTTTACTGGGCACTATAACTACTCCTCATGAACAGGAGCTGGAGTTGCATGAAGGAGTGTTACAATGCATTTCAAGTGTCTCCCAGCACACCTGTCATTCAGATAGTTTCATTTACTCATGATTTCACTGAAATTCCTAACAAAGAACTTAATCTCAGAGTGTCCTGCTGTGTTTCACCAGAGTACCAAGCTCTTAAGTGAGTATTCTTGGTTATAAGTACTATATCATGTTACATGTTAATGTCATATAAAAATATAAAGAAAACAAAAATTAAACTTGTAATATTTGGTATTCTTATGTATCCATTACCAGAGGTTTGTACACAAAGTAATTAGGATTCAAACATCTTTGAAGAATATTTACTTCTAATCAGAGTCAAACTTTATAATTTCTGATATCCTTTCTTAAATGTTACATAGAAGTCCAATATTTTGAGAAAACTACAATATTTTCTTTGGGAGGGGGTGGGGGGTTCTCTGTGTAGCCCTGGCTATCCTTGAGCTCAGAGAGCTGCCTGCCTCTGTTGTATGTCCTAATCCCCATCTGTGTCCTATCCCCACTTCCATCCCCTCCACCCCTCCAGTGCTGAGATTAAAGGTGTGCCACTACCACCTAATCCATACTGGCTTAACATGGAACTTAAGTCCCGCTTGTTAGAGACCCCAAAGATACTCATGCTGTGTTCTCACTTACTTCACAGGGGCTCGGGCATAAACCTGAAGCCAGTCAGGAATTTCTGCAGTATGGTAGGGATTTGCAGGGACCAGAAGAGACTGATTTCTTTCAGTTTGCTGTGGCTGATACGTGATGGGTGGGGGCTGATCATACCGAGGTACACTGAGAAGAAAGAATTGACATTTATTAAAACAGAAGCCCTTTACCTAGGGTAGAAATTATGACAACCATACAACTTTTAAGAATCTTCTACACGCTTTCTGGCCAAACTGACTATCTTTCAGTTTAACAGGACTTTCCATGATAAAGGTCTGGATGATTTTTTTTAAAAAACTAGACTGTGTGGAAGTATACACCATCTTCTTTTGGAAGCTGATATGCTGCTAGTGGTAAACACCCAAGTAAAGGAGTAGAGATGGACTGGGGCAGCCCCCACTGTGGCCTGCCTCAAGCCCTAGGTCTGAGTCCTACTTTGGCACCCCGTCTCCCTTGCTTATTCCTCAGTCCGTGTGGTGTCCAGTCCTTTGGCCCAAAGGTCCCACACTCCACCTCCACCTTCGTTGCTCTCTGTGTTCCCCTGACTGAAGCATTTCTCCCTCAGTTGGCAGTCAGGCCTGACCCATGTAAGTGGGATGTGTTGATAACTAGGTTGCAATTGAGTGGGTGGAGTGGGCTGAGGGCTGGATGCCAATCCCAGGGTTACCTGAGCCAGAAGCAACTTTTGTGGGAATTGGAGCTGAGGAACTGAAGTGCCAAGATATGGGGGATACCTCCTGTCCCGTCCCCAACCTGCATGCTTCAGGCTAAGATATGAAAGAAAAAATTACTACTACAAGCCATGACACTTAGGTTTCCAGCAGCACCTGAGCTAGCAAAATACTGGCTAATAAGGTGATACAAGAAGAGAAGGGACCAATAGATACTTCCAGTGTTAATCACACAGAACACTACAAGACACCAATAGAGGCAGACCTACTACAGAAGGCAGCAGAAAGACTTGATGAAATGTTTTAGACAGGGTTGGCAGTGTATGTTGATCTTGCTAAAGAACAATTGATGCTTTAGGAATTTAATAAAGAAAGAGCTGTCTCTACTACACCGGTTCAAGGAAACATGAGATAGCTCATGAACTATCTCATATTCAGGGGGAACAGATCTTCTGTGGCATAGCACAAAGCAAAAGTCTTCCTCCACCACTTTATACAAACAAAAGTGGAGTGATGAAGATCTACAAGCAAAGAGAGCAGGAAAAAGTGCAAGAGTCCACAAAGGGGCCTAATGAGACAAAGACCAAGTGAAGCCTTGCTTGAGAGGACAGGTTATATTCTGGATATAACCATGGGATAGAGGAAGTATGGTGGTCTTCCACCAGACAGTGTGTATTCAGCTGTGCAACCTGGAATTGAAACAGAGGTTTTCTTGAGTAAAAATCCCAAGAAACTTGTATGAGGATGAGTTGGTGCCCTTTGGTGAGAAGGCTGGTCCTATCTGGGATTTATGTCTTATGGTGGAACCAGTCTCTGGTCAGAACAAAGACCATGCATTTATTACCTTCTGTAGAAAGGAAGCTGCCCAGGAAGCAGTTAAAATAAGCTGTGTAAGAACTATGAAATTTGTTCTGGCAAACACCTGGGCATGTGTATTTCTGTGGCAAACAAGACTTCTTATTAGATCCATTACAAAGAATAAAACCAAAAGAAACATTCTGAAAGAGTTCAGCACTCAGGCTTACCTGAGGGTTTGGTGGATGCTATTCTGTACCATCAACCAGATGACAAAAAGAGGAAGGAAGGGTGTTTGTTCTGCTTCCTTGAAGATCAAAAGTCAGCAGCACATTCCAGATGCTGGCTGATGAGTGGAAAAGTAAAAGTGTGGGGAAACGTAGTTACAGTGGTGGTGGTTTGAATAGGAATGGCCCCCAGGGACCCCAGATTTGAATGCTTGGTCACCAGGGAGTGGCACTATTAGGACATTAGGACGTGTGGGCTTGGAGAAAGTGTATCACTGGGGGCGGGCTTTAAAGTTTCAGATGCTCAAGACAGACCAGTGTCTCTTTCCCACTGCCTGCCAAACCAGATGTAGAACTCCCAGCCACCTTTCCAGCACCATGTCTCTGCCTGTACAACACCAAGCTTCTCACCAAGACAATAATGGACTAAACGTCTGAACTCTAAGCCAGCTCTGATTAAATATTTTCTTTCATTTATAAGAATTGTCATGGTCATGGTGTTTCTTCACAGCAATTGAAACCCTAATTAAGACACAGGTGAACAGGCTGACCCTGTGCAAGAACCAAATCCAAAAGTCATAGCTATGGTAGAAGTTTTATTTTTAAGAAACTTGGCTACTACAGTGACAGAGGAAATATTGGAAAACTAATTTTTAGAGTTTAAGATTATGCATGTGTTCATTTTGGAGACAGAAAAGCTGCTGTTAAGGCTATGGATGAAATGAATGGAAAAGAAACAGATGGGGCAGGAATTGAAATTGTCTCAGCTAAGCCATTAGTCAAGGAAAGAGTGCCAAGCTGCTGGACAAGCCTCCAGAAGCACTGCATATGAAGATTATTACTATCACCCTCCTTCAAATGAGAGGCCATGGTGGAGGGAGAGGTGGATATGGCTACCCTCCAGATTACTCTAGCTATGAGGCTACTATAATGATTGCTATGGTTGTGATTATCACAACTATCATGGAGGCTATGCTGATGGCTATGCAGTGAGAGGAAGAGGAGGAGGGAGAGGGTGTGGTGTTGCACCACCACCAAGGGAGCAGAGAGCAATACCTCTAAGAGGCAGAACTGGCTACTCACAGAGGGAGCATATTTGGGAACACCAAGAGGCTTAAGGAGTGGCAGAGGGAGTCTTGCAAAATAACAGAGAGGCCATGGTCCTTTGGAACTCAGGGCAATTGAGGTGCTGATGCAGGAGGCAAGAAAAAGTAGATGGGTACAACCTGCCTAATTCCAGGTGTCATGAGGCCAACAACCAACAGAAAGGGGTTCCTAACCCAGATCAGCAGCTGCCTCAACAAGGTGGTAACTATTCTGGTAACTATGGTTACAATAATGACATCCAACAATTTTATCAGGATATTTAGAAACAACAGTGGAAATAGACAAGGGTTCGAAAATGATACCAGCAAGATATGATTGGCTCTAGATCTACATTTTTCAAAACAAAATCGGTGTAACTGTTTGATCTTTAAGTTGTTTGCCATTTGTATTCAGAAATCAAGTCATTGAAGAAATCATTATTGTATATATATTCAGGCTTTCTAATTTTCTTCTTTTCATAAATACCCTTGGACATTATGGATTTACAGAGTTTCTTTGTTCTGGAGTTACAGATTTTTTTGTATTGAAAATAAGCTATGACTCTATGTTTTACATCCCTAGAAGCAGGTGTACTGGGTTTTTAGGTTGTTGTAACCTTCACAACCTTTTTGAAATCGTCCCTACAAAATTTGCTTGGCTTACATGCCAAAGCCTCAACAATTTGTTCTGTGATGTGACTGTTTTTCTAACTTCTTGTAAAATTCATGTAAAGTTTCAATAAAACTCAAAATCTATTTAAAAAAAGAAAGAAAAGTAAGCAAGCAACAACAACAAAAAACCCAAGTTAATCTCTTCTGTATTTTAATACATGTTTTTCTGGCTGGTATACATTCTTTTTAAAGACAGCCTCAATGGTGATAAAAAGTTGGGTCTTAGTTGTAACTTTTATACAAAGTTTAAATTATAAGTTTCTGCAAATTACTTGTAATTTGCTAACATATATATTGGAAAGGGCTATAGCTTTTCTCAAAACAAAAAACCAAAATCATGGTTTTCTTCCTCTTGTTGACTGGAAGCTGAGGTTAGGGTATGTTGTGCAGCAGGACTCTGCACTATGCCAGGTTAGGAAAACAACTGAGAATCGACTAGAGCCCATTTTAAATCGGAGAGAATTAAAAAGGATCAAATTTCAATTAGCTCTAACAGCCTGTGTAAGCTGAGCAGGGAGGAATACTTATATACATGGTGAGATGTTTGCAGAAGGGTGTTCTGCAAAGTGCTGGACACCTGAAGGCTCAAGTGAATTCTGGAAAACCAAACTGAGCTATTTCAGACATAAAGACAAAATTAAATGAAGCCTGCCTCTAAACATAAAAGATATGAATATTAAAAAGGTCAATGTTTTCTTAACCATCATTAAAATAAAGTCTAGAGTATATCATGGTTAATAGTTCATTTTAAGATATTTGTATGTACATCTCTGTCTCTGTCTCTTTGTCTCTGTCTCTGTGTATATGTACATGTACATATGTATACCCATGAGGCCAAAAGAGGGTATCTGATCCTCTAGAGCTGGAGTTACAGGCCACTGTAAGACACTGATAGAGGTGCTGGGTTATGTAGTGCAGGAGGACTTCTATGCCAAATTAGGAAAACACCTAAACTCAAGTCCTCTGAAAAAGCAGCAAGTGTTCTTGATGACTGAGCAATGTATCTCCCCAACCCCAGCAATTTAAAGACAACATAAAAATTACACTGAATTTTCAACAGTTTTTAATAAGTAGGTTCAAAAAGGAAATAGTAATTGATACCATATGCTTTGGAATCAAATATGCCTGTGTTTTTGTTTTGTTGTTGTTTTGAGACAAGTTCTCCCTAAGACTCTGTGTAGACCAGGCTGGCTTTGAACTCAGAGTTCCTCTACCTGTCTCAGTCTCCCAAGTACTAAGATTAAAAGTATGCATGACCATGCCCAGCCTATGTTTTAAATTCAGTTTAACCACTTACAATTTGTATGAAATGTGGGTAGAACTGTCTTTACTTCTCTAAACCTCCTTAATTAGGAACAAATACTCTTAACATTCCCAAAATTTAATGAACAAATGTAAGTCATAAGTTCTGTGTAAAGAGTATACCATATAATCAAACAGCTATTGATATTACTATGTGAACTAGAGTTCTGAGTCTCTCCTGCCTAATATCTACAGAGCTGCTGAGAGAAATAATCATTTGGAAAAATGTTTTGTGAACCATCAAAACTCTACAATAATACAAGGCTGAGATAAAGTTACCTTTCAAATCTGTTTGTAAAGACTACTACTATAAGACAGCAAACAATAACCATGGCTTTAGTTCTTCATGAAGCCATTCAATAAATGCTAAGTGCCATTAAATGTAATCATTGGAAAAAAGTTTCAAGGTTGAATCACTAAATATAAAAATATAAAATGTTTATAGCAGTATACTAATAGTGTCACCTTTGTAGGTAGTAACTCCCAAAATGTATTCTCATGATTTTAATGATTCTAAAAAAAATTTATCACTACCTACCATAACCAACAAACTGTATTAGACCAGATGATCCCAGGCAGTATCTATCAATGTGTTTATGACATTTTACCCCCTGTCCTCAGTTCTTGTACCTTAAACATTACAATGTAAACACTTTTTCACTATTAAGCTTATATAGTTTTATATTTACTCTGAAGTAGAGTGTTTGTTTTACACTTACAGCAATCTCAATTCGTCAATCACGTTCTAGGTGCTCAACAACCACATATGACAACTGACTACACTATTAGATAGCACAAGGCTTAAATATCATTCAAAACAAAACAGCCCAAAGAATTACTGGTTTATTTATTAAAAAGCTAGAATGTTTTGTTGCATTCCAACTTTTACTTCAGTAAGAAAAAACAAAAAATCATGTTTGAGGTTGAATAAAAACAGCAAGATAATGTCAAAATTTCAAAGTATACTTTGACTTAATAGGAGGTGGGTCTGACATGGGAATTTAAGATGAAGAGACAGGTGTTGTATTAGCTTGAACTTCTGGCTAGCTACAAAAACATTCTGACATCTCCTAATTGGAATATGATCACAAAGATACATTTGTTTCAAGTTGCTCAAAGAGAAGATACTTTTAAAAACTTATTAAAATTATTAATCACTAAAATATATTTAGAATAAATATAAATTTTGAGAAATAACTTTAAAATCTCAAGCTTCAAGATGCTTATCCCTTCCAAAAATGTGAGATCAAAATCTAACACAGAATGCTCTCAAAACAGATAGCTGAAAAGGAAGCCACTTGTTTACCTGGGAGCACAGGGGTGCCTGTACTGAGCCCTTTTATTTGTGTGATCCACATAATAGGTTCCAAATTCTGATGACTCCACTCGTTCCCACCCAGGAGGAAGTCCTTCTCGTTCAAGAGGATGACTCCAATGAGTTGTGTTTGTGTTATGATCTATGTAGTATTTTCTCCCTCTCATTGTCCAGTCCACAGACCAGCCAGGAGGAAGGGGTAAATCTTCAGATCCATGGTTGGTTAAATTCCCTAAAGATGTAGCAGTGACTCTTCCAATACCTGAGGAGAAAAGGAAATGGAGCAAGTATTCAAATATCTGTTAAATTTTATTATTATGTCAGTAATGGAACAAGTATTCAAATATCTGTTAAATTTTATTATTATATCAGTATAAAACTTCCACAAAATTCACATTACTATTAAATTAGAAAGAAGAGCTGAATTTTGAAACAATTATGAGTTTTGGCTTGTTTGAATCTTCTATCACCAAAGCACAGGAACAGTTAAATATTTATACTGCTAAAGGAAAAGTGAAGAGAGAAGAAATCTCAGTCAATATTTAAGATTTGCCATTTCATCTAAAACAAAACAAAAAACTTGTAAAACCTTTCCCAGTTTATAATTTAAACAAAAAAAATCTAGCTGTGCCCTAGAATTAAGTAAGATTATCAAGGCAGGTTATATAGTCAACATGCAAAAATATACATCAAATAGCTACATGCTGACCACAAGTAGAAATACAGTTAATGAAATAACACCACTTATAATGGCTCTAAAAATCAAAAAGTCAAATTTCCAACTATCTGAAGTATATATTTTAAAATATGTACTATATATTTTATATATTTGGCTAAGCAAAATGTTTAACTTTAAGAAATAGCAATAACCTCATTTTTCTTTTTTTTTTTCTTTTTTTTTTTTTAAAGATTTATTTATTTATTATATATGAATACACTGTAGCTGTCTTCAGACACACCAGAAGAGGGCATCAGATATCATTACAGATGGTTGTGAGCCACCATGTGGTTGCTGGGATTTGAACTCAGGACCTCTGGAAGTGCAGTCAGTGCTCTTAACCACTGAGCCATCTCTCCAGCCCCAATAACCTCATTTTTCAACTCCCTTAAAATTACACTGACAATCATAAACTGAAATTTCAGAATCCACTGTTTCTAGAAGAGCAGTGTCCGTCAGTCATTTCAGTATCTATGTAATCAGCAATGACAAAAAGTAATTCAGAAGAAACATTAAAATTAAGGTAAATGCTTCTATTCAAACTATGACATTCTAAAGGATGAAATGTAAGTTTATAAATAAATATAGATTATTGGAAGGTAGTTTAAAAACTGTATTCACTTAATATACAACAAACAAATGGTAAATGCAAAAAGCTAGTTACTACAGCATAGTCTTATAGAAAAGCTAGCAATAAACCAATATTGACATTGTAGGTGATTATGCTATTGGATACAGAGCAGAGGAGAGAAGAGTTCTGGACTACGGAGCTATACACACAAAGATGCTCTCTGCTTTCTACCTTGAGTGATTAAGAGACAAAGCCAGGCAGGGAGACTCTTGCCTGTAATCCCAGCACTTGGGAGACTGTGGTAGAAAGAATGCCACAAATTTGAAGTTATCCTAGGCTGTATAGTGAATTCTAGGCCAGCCTGAGCTAGAGGAAGACCTTTTCTCACCCCTTCTCACACCTCCCCACCCCACCCAAAACAAGGAGCAAAAAAAGTGCAGGTAATATGCTTCCTTTATATAGTTATACTTAAAATATTCCTGGGCTCCACTGTCCCAGACTTCCTGGTATTCACCTGTCTGTGAGCAATAATTTATGACAGAAAGGATGGTGTGTGATTTCTGATAGGAAGATACAAAAGGCCATGCAGCTTCTGTCCTTATGAAGCTCACGTGCTTCCCCTTGAATTACTGGGGGTGGGGGGTGGGGAGAGCCAGCTGTTCTAATGTCATAAATAGTGCATCTAATGAGGAACAGGGGCCTGCAGCTAAAATTAAAGTCTCTTGCTAACAGCTTTGGTAGTGCTCTCTAAACTATGTGCATCTAAGGAAATGGATCTGACTGCCCTGGTGAAACACTGACATAACTGAAACATGAGAGAGAGGACTCGAGTCAGAAACAGCCAGCTGAATTGCTTCTGATATCATATCCACGTAAACTCAAATGTCTGCTATGTCACAGAGTTTAGAGTAACATATAAAAGAAAACCAATAGAGTTGAGGAAAAAATATATGTACACATACCTGTATATATACACTTATTTTCATAAGAATGCTAAAATATAAGAATTCCACAAAAGTTGATGAAACTGGTTATTTAGAGAAGGAACGGGATAATGGCAGAAATGATTTTGTATCCCAGAATGGCCTGGAACTCTGCAGACCAGGCTGATCTTAAGCTCACAGAAATCTGCCTGCCTCTGTCTCCAAAGTTCTGGGAGTAAAGATGCAAGCCACCGCACCAGACAAATGACTAGCCTCTTAATTGTCAATTGAAACGACTACCTGCAGTGTGAATGTCTGCAAGCATGGTAACACAATGTGAATATACAGACTCTTGATACCACACAGCAAAACACTCAACATGCTTAAAGATGGTGGAATTTATGTTTCACATGTTCTACAATAAAAATTTTAAAGCAAAAAGCAAAACCTAGAATCTTCATTTAAATCATCAATAGTATAAATTGATGTTAACTGTTTCCAAAACAAATCCCAAAATGTCTTTCCTGGATTCCTCCACTGAAAAATCTGGAAGCAAAAATCCATCCAGTTACAAAAATCCAAGTTGCAATCTCAACACTATGAATCCAAATACCCGAAAAGGAACCAGAGCTCCTAGAGGATGCCTTGAATCAATGGTTGATTCTAAGTCTGACACAGAACAGGCACAAAAGGAGTTTGGAACATCCAACCATCAAGGCACAATAGAAAGCACAAAGAACAATAAAGACCAAAGAAAACCAGGTCTTGAGGGGACCCGAGTGTCCACTAGAGAGCAGTTCAAACAACAGAAGTACCCACCAAGCAATACAGTAACCCTAAAGCCCACAAATTCACCTTGAAGAAACAAGTAGACCTAAGTCTGGGTCAGGAATCACAGGATGAGCTTAACATTCTGTAGTCTCAATTACTATGAAATAAAATATACAAGTCACCTATAAAGTCCAAAGTTGGAACCACAAGGTGGAAGGAGACAACCAATTCCTGAAAGGTGTCCTTTAACCTCCACACATGCCTATGCCCATGAACATGCAGGCTGAACAAGCCATAGGGAGCAAGTCAGTAAACAGCACCCCTCCATGACTTCTGCATCAGCTTCTGCCTCCAGGTTCCTGTCCCATTTGAGTTTCTGTCCTTTCTGCCTTCAATGTTGATATGGAAGTATAAGCCAAATAAACCCTTCACTCTCCAAATTGCTTTGGTCACAGTGTTTTATCACACCAAAAGTAATTCAAACTAAGACAGATGTACTTTTTAAAAATTAAAAGCAAAAATTTTTTCTTTAAACAAGACTCAGAGCTGGGTGGTGGTGGCGTACGCCTTTAATCCCAGCACTTGGGAGGCAGAGACAGGCGGATTTCTGAGTTCGAGGCCAGCCTGGTCTACAGAGTGAGTTCCAGGATAGCCAGGGCTACACAGAGAAACCCTGTCTTGAAACAAACAAACAAACAAACAAACAAACAAACAGACTCAGAATGGAAGCCTACTGACATTAAAAGCAGATGTTGGTTATAGCCTAAAATCAATCTTACATTTGCTTTGTTTTTTGAGACATGGTTTTTCTGTGTAGCTCTGGGCTGTCCTAGAACTTACTCTGTAGACCAGGCTGGCCTCAAACTCAGAGATCTGCCTGCCTCTGCTTACTTTTAATAATATTCCATTTGGAAATTAACTTGTACTTTCTTTGTATATGTTGTATATATAGTATGTATAGAACAGTGTGGCTGTGTACATGTGCATACATACTAACACATGTTAACACATATGCTTGTGGAGGTCCAAAGAGGCTTATGGTTTAGATCAGGCGCCTTTCCTCGTTTGCTCTCTAAATACTTTTTGAGACAATGTCTCTCGATGAATCTAAAGCTCATCAATTCAGCTAGGCGGCTGGCCAATGAGCTTCAGAGATTGATCCATCTATCTCTGCCTCCAACTGCTAGGTTATAGGAGAAGCAGGTCACCATTCCTGGCAAGGTTTTAGGGATCTGAACTCAGGCCTCACACTTGCTCAGCTGATACTCTGCTGACTGAGATATCTCCCCAGACCTTGTACTTCCTTTCTAAATGTGATTGGAATGCTGTTTTAAAGTCTGCCTTTATTGTAAAAACCATGTCCTATTGCTCTACATAGAAAAGACTGGTAGAAACTTATAGTATTTCCTCAATTACATTTTACAAATTGGAATTTTAAAACAAGATTTCAACTTTGTATTTAATTTCTTCATATTTAAAATATGGGAAGTTAAGGACAAAAAGAATTACAGGTTGAGTATCCCTTATCTGGATGCTTGTGACCATGGTGTTTTAGATTTGAAATTGATGCGTATGTAATATACTGGGCAAATGTACCAAATCTGAATATCAAATTCATATATGTTTTATATTTCTCTTAGAAAAACAGACTGAAGATAATTTCATAATAGTATTTTCAGTGCAGCTGCCATTTTGACAGTGAACTATGAGGACTTACTCCTGTAATCCAAGCACTAGGTAGACAGAGGCAGGAGAACTATTGCAAATTTGAAACTAGTTTGGGCTACACAGTGAATTACAGACTAGTCTCAACTATACAGTGAGACTGTATCTTAAAACATACACATATGCATACACAAAACAAGTTTTAAAAAATTGCCTCAATGTGTCATGTTCATGCTCAAAATATTTGGATTTTGAAGTGTTTCACAGATCAGATTTCTGGAGCTGGGATATTCAATCTATCTGAGCTCTCAGTGAAATGTGAAACTGAGTGCAAAGAACTGAATAAACCTGTGGGTTGTTAATCCTCTGAGGGTCGAATAACTTTTTCACAGGGGTCGCCTCTAAGACTATCAGAAAACACAGATACTTACATTATCATTCTTAACAGTAGCAAAATTTTAGTTGTGAAGTAGCAATGAAAATAATTTTATGGTTGGGGGTCACTACAACATGAGGAACTATATTAATCCCTACCTTGGAGGAGTACTTCCAGGTCAAGGGGTAAAGGAAGTGTCAGATTTCCTGCCTGTTATAAAAAAGGGCATGTTTCACACATAATTAGCCATATGGTAAGTCTCTTTGACTAACCTGGGAAATAGTAATTGTCTATAAAAAGCCAAAAATATGCCATAGAAAACAGACACAAGAATTATGTCACTCATTATAAGTTAAAAACAACTAGCAAGCCGGGCAGTGGTGGCACACGCCTTTAATCCCAGCACTTGGGAGGAGGAGGCAGGTGGATTTCTGAGTTCAAGGCCAGCCTGGTCTACAGAGTGAGTTCCAAGACAGCCAGGGATACACAGAGAAACCCTGTCTCGAAAAACCAAAAAAAAAAGAGGGGAAAAAGAAAAAAGAAAACAACTAGCAAGCAGGAGAAAGAAAGAATGGCAAAATGAAAAATTTTTCCCCCTAGGAATATGTTTCTGTTTTGTTTTGCTTTCCAAGAAAATCCACTTTTAAATTGAAATATCAGTATGAATAAACCAATGTGCTGAAGTTACCTGAAGTGTGCCTCCCCTGATTCTGTGGCATTCTCTGGAAGAGATCATGGTTATACTCATAATATCTGTAGTCTTCTTGTGCACGATCTCCAAGTGGCCGCCTTCTCTGACTATCAAAAAAGTTATCTGAATAAAAGTATCGGGAACCAGAGTCTCCATTTTCAACAGCAAAATTAACTTCTGTTAAAAATGACTGTGATGAGCCATACTCTCGAGGAACATCTGCTAGGCTCCTGACAAGATAAGAAGAAGGTGCAGACAGTCTGTTGCTTTCTCTTCTCATTACTTCATGAGGTGTCCTTTGAATTGGAGTTCTCAGAAAACTCTGGTTTCTTGAAATTACACCATCTCCAGAAGCTGAGAAAGCACTAGCACTTGAATCTGGAAGACAGAGATCAGTCCGTCTGGGAATTGTTGGACCGTGCCGAATGAATGAAGGCATGAGATCTACAATAAAACAAATATAATCACCATTTCACTAAGTCAGTACATGCTTCTAAAGTTATTTATATCTACTATCCTGACATCAAAATAGCAAGCAAAGGGCATAAGAATAATTTTAAATTTTAAGACAATACTAGAACTTTAAGATTATTTTCCCAAGCAAATACATTTACAATCTGCATTAATGTGCAGGTGTAAACTCAGCTACAAATAAATGTATGCTGCATATTGCCATATATAATATGATACAATGTCACTAAGACTGAAAATAATTTAATAAAAACCAATGCTGTCACCAGCATCATGTATGACCAGAGTTTGATGTTTTCACTTGATTTAACTATCACCAAGACTCTTTCTTCACACAAATATAGTCTCATTAAAATAAAAGTGTTCTCCAAAAAATGCAAAGTCAGATTTCTTGTAAAAGATTTCTTTATTAACAGTTTTGTCTCCCTACTAGGAATTACCCAGTTCTAAACACATTATCAAAACTTGAGTGGAAACTGAAAAATAAAGTCATCTAATTCCAAAGATGCTCACAAATGCTAAATCTACTGAAAAACGCTGGAAAAAAAGTTATGGCTCCTTTAAGAGCAGATAATTCAAACCAAGATAATGGGCTGCTGAAATCAGAATGTGCGAGCTTATATATTCTTAGAGAGAAAGCAACTGCACTTAAATCATGAAATCTGGACACAGAGCACATTGTCTGAATTCATTAAATAGATGTTACTAAGGGTGTCATAAGCTAACATACAATAACTTAATATTAGAATAATTGACAGTCCATGACAGAAACTCTGTATCAAGTCATTCACTAAAAGATTCTTACAGATTGCATGACTTCAAATGATGTTTAATAAACTTTATTTGAAGCAAAAAGCAAGCTATTAAAAATGGTTTCAAGTTACTGACACATCCACCCCACCAACTTTGTTGTTAAGCACTACAATTACTAACAGAACCTGTAAAGGTTGACACATGGCCACAATGGAAAAAGCAGCTATCCACCCCTTTCTGCATGATCTTGGGCAAATACTAGGAACCTCTGTGAACAGCTTTCCCAATTACAATATGAGGTAATGCTTAATTTAAGTCACAAGCTTACTTCCAGCTTCCAAGAAGGAAACTTACACAAGGGGCCCACCTCCTAGAATGAGAACCAAAGAATTAGTTCTCAGAACTATTCCAACTACCCAAGAATTTAAAAAAGGAGAATCAAGACGTTCAAGTCAAAAACTCAAATATTTTAAACAGAGAAGAAAAGCTATGGGGGGGGGGCGGAACATAAGCTGGAAAGAGGGATAAAGTTAGTAACTTGCCTGCTACGGCAGAAATTATTCTGAGTACTTTGCTTCTTTTTTTTTTTTTTTTTTTTTTTGGAATTTTAGGAGCAAAACCTAATCCGAATATTTTAGTGGCTCGTCTGCTCTGAGAAATGAGGAGGCTCTGGGTAGTGGCTACAAGTATCAGGCTCTTCGCCTCACAAGTGTGTGTCCCGCTGCAGGACGAAGGAATCCAGTCTTCTGTGTGTGTGCTACTTAGGGCACCGGAGAGTGGCGCCCGCGACGGTCGCAAACACGGGGCACGCCCCGACGTACCCAGCAGAGAGGTGCCCGGGTTGGAACACTTTTTCTCCAACACCACGGACAGCCATGCATTTCCCAGAGTCTGTCTTCCAGCACCACCCGAGGCAGCGCTGAGTCCCCACCCGTCACCGCCCTCGATACTCACTCCTCAGCAGGGGCGACGTCTCCTTCTTCACGTACTTGCCCTGCACCTCGGCCGGCTTAGACACCTCGTTTTTGGTTTTTTTGCGGGACAGCATCCTCGCGGACGACGCCCGCCGCCGCCCCAGCAGCCTCGCTAGGGCCGCGAGCCCGTCGCCCGCCGCCGCCTCCCGGGCCGGCGCCGCCTTCGCCTCGGGTCTCCGCCGCCCGCGCCCGCCCGCAGGCTCCGCCGCATGTTGGCGGCGCTAAGCGCGCCCGCCGCCGCTCAGTCGCAGGGCAGCTCCTCCCGGGAAGTCAGTCGGCTCAACGACGCCGCCCGAGGCCGCCTTGGGACAGGGCCGCGGCCGCCCACTAGGGCCATGGTCCGCAGCCGGGAGCCGCTACCGCTGCGGCCACCGCCTACGTCCGGTAAACTTTCCCCGCGCCGCTGGGAATGCTGGGAAAGCCGACGCGCGCGGGCCGCCCCTCCCCCGCCGGGCGCGGACGCTGCTGAGTGAGGCGACTCGCGCCGGGCGGCTAACGGGCCGGGTGTGGCGACCACCGCGGCCCTCAGCGCGGCTCCGCAGGCCGGCTCCCGCCGCTGAGGACCCGGAGTCCAGGCTGTCCGGAGCCCGCTGGGCTGCGAGCAGCTCTCGCCTCGGACTTGTCGACCGCCCTGCTGGAGGCAGTGCTGCTCGCAGCCGCAGCCGCAGCCGCGTCCTGGTTGCTGAGGGAAGGCGGCCCTCGGGTGTGCTGGGTTGTTGGGGACGCAGGGCCGGACGACGACCAGGGCCGCACCTAGTAACACGGAGGCCTCTTCTGGTGACAGCGTGCCTACTGTAAAAATTGAGTCTCCGTTTCTTCTGTCCTCTTCTCTCCCCCAACGCTTGGCAACCCACTCTCTTTTATGCCCCCCATCCGCGCTACTTTCGGATTAAAAACACAAGATGGAGTTTCTACAACTCCTAAGATAAATTTGACGTTGATGTATTTATCTCGTCATTTTAATATGTATACTTAATGACCACATGCTTTCTCTTGCAGTTAAGTCTTAGAATCTTGAGGCCTTTGAGCACCAGAGTTCAGAACTGGGAGTTTTCTATCTAATACATCAGATTCTACTTTGTTCTCTTTAACTCACTCGGGTACACAGAATAACTTGGAAAATAAGATGGGACTCACTCCTCTTGACCAAAGTAAGGCTTTCATAATAAAGAGAATGTGCTTTAAACACAGAAGCAAAACACCAACCTCATAACAAGACACTGGAACTGCTCTTTTTTTTTAATCCATGCACAAAGAAGACTTTTTTAAATTTATTTTTATTGGATATTTTATTTACATTTCAGATGTTATCCCCTTACCCCATTCCCTCCCTCCAGGAACCTCCTATCCCATCTCTCCTCCAACTGCTTCTATGAGGATGTGCCCCCACCTACCCCCCAACTCCCACCTCCCCACCCTCAAATTCCCCCACACACCGAGTCCAGCCTTCATGGGACCAAGGATCTCCTCTCCCACCTATACCTGACAGGACCATCCTCCCTTGCGTATATAGCTGGAGCCATGGGTCCCTCCCTGAGTGTTCCCAGGCTGGTTGGTGGTTTAGTCCCTGGGAGCTCTGGTTGGTTGGTATTGTTGCTCTCCTCATGGAGTCACAAACCCTTTCAACTCCTTCAGTCTTCACCTCCTCGATTGGGAACTCCATGATCAGTTCAATGGTTAGCTGTGAGCATCTGCCTCTGAATATGTCAGACTCTTGCAGACCTCTAAGGAGACAGCTATGTCAGGCTCCTGTCAGCATGCACTTCCTGACATTCACATCAGCATCTACCTTTGGTGACTGCACATGGAATGGATACCCAGGTGGAATGGTCTCCATACGGACCCTCAAAGGAGACATTTTATCAGTTGTCTATCTCTGTGATTTTTTAATGAAATGTTTCCTTGTTAAAGGCCCCTATGATTCTATAACATATTTTATTGAGCACCCAGTATCCAAGGTGCTGTTTTAGGTGTCTGGGATATGACAACAAAGGTCCTGTTATGGGGAAGAGAGATCACAAAGACTAAAACTAGTAAACATAGGATGTTACACAGTGAGTGCTGAAGTAAGCATAAACGAGATCTCAGTTTTGGAAAGGGTGACAGATAATGAAGCCAGTGAGAAGTTGATGCTGGAATTAACTTGCCACACAGCTATCCGGAGTGAGACCTCGGAAGAGCAAACACAGAGTCACTGCAAGTGGTCATGTTTCTGGCTCAGTGTAGGAATAGCAAGAGGGCCATGTAGCTGAAACAGAGAAGAGTAGAGGGAAATGGAGTTCCTTGAACAGGCCACCCACTTAGGCCTCTGGAGTAGAGGAGAGACATATTTAATGCAATCACTTTGGATGCAGTGTTGAGAGTAGACTGGGAATGGGGTTTCAAAATAAGGGAGGTGATCAAAAAGTACTGCTAGCGTGCATATGGATAAAGGTGACAGGACAAGCAGTAAGTGATTGTAGACATCTTAGAGATGCGGCAGGGTTTGCTGACAGATTGATGATGGCATTAGAATAAGAACAAAGGGTTACTCCTTGTGTAAACCTTCATTACCTGAGTGGAGTTCATAGAGCATTGTCATCTGAGGAGAGGAAACACACTGAAGTATTGCCATGGTTCAGATACAAATGCTAACACTAAAGAGTTGGTAGTGTAGAAAGAGAACAGGCAAGGGTGAAACAGAAAAGACAATGGGCTTTTCTGTGAAGAATTTGAGGAAGGGAAGTAAAGGAGAAGGGGGTTGCCCTAGAATTCCCAAGGCTGACCTCAGAGGTGAGGAAAAATGAGGTTGTTGGGATCTTGTTACTAAAGATAGTTCCTTATTCCTGGGCTTTCCAGAGAATGAAACGAAGTATGCTTCCCACATGGATGAGGGAAAGAATCGGGATTTTTGTAGCTGGATGGGAATTCTGATATCAACTATGCTAATCTCATGAAAAAATATTATATGTTGTCTTAGATTACCTTCCTGTTTAGTGACAGAACTACACTAGTCACCTTTCTCCTTATTGTGACCAGATGTCTGATCAAACCATGTAAAGGAGAAAAGACTGATTTAGGGTTATGATTTTTAAAGGTTCAGACCATGGCCACTTGACTTCCTGTTTCTGGGTCAGTGGGGAGGGTCTCCATCATCACATGAGGTACTAGAAGCAGAGGAGCAGGAAGGCATCATGGACAAGTTCAATGGCTAGTTGTGAGCATCTGCCTCTGAATATGTCAGACTCTTGCAGACCTCTGAGGAGACATCTATATCAGGCTCTTATGAGCATGCACTTCCTGACATCCACATCAGCATCTA